GTATCGTGGGCCTCGGCCCAGGAATCGCGGCCACTGCTCGGCTGGGGCTGTGAGGGGGGGGTGGGGTTGGGCGGAGAAGGGAGAGAGGGGGGAAGAGTGTCCGCTGGCAGGCTCCGATGTTCGAAGCCTCAAATGATTGGGGGTGGATCGGTTCTGTGGGGGGTGTCTCTTCACTCTCATTTGGCCAAAAGGCGCGGTGGAAACGTCTGCAAGAGCGAAACTGCGGGCTTCGTCCCCTAAGGCAGGCCCTGGTGGAAACAGGCTGTAAGCCGCCCGGGGTTGGGGCAGTCGGCGTGGGGCCGTATAAAGGCTTTTGGTTGTTGATCCTAGCGGAGCCCAAACCACAAGTAGGGGTTGGAGAGGTGGATAGAGCATGCCTCCAAGCTCTGTATTCCCGCCTGCTGCGAGATCTGGTGGTGATGCGTCGGCGTGCTCGCCGCTGCCGTGCTGTTTGTGACCTGAGGTGGCGGTGGTATTGTGCTCGGGTCTGTGAGGAGGGGGGTGTCCGGGAAGTGGTGTGGGGTCTGTGGGGCACTTCGTCGCCGAAAGGGCACACTAGAACAACTCTCAGAGCAACCTGGAAAAGTAAAACTGTGAAGTGTAGATGGACTAGAGTTACAATAGTGGCTCGGCGCACCCAGCTCGCCTTTAGGCGGCGTGCCAGAACGGTTCAACTCGTTTTTGCCCAGCTGTGTGGTACGGTCTGGGTCTGCCATGGTACAAGAGGCAGCAGCCTGTGAAAAATGCGGTCGCACAGCTGCTGCGGAAGATTGCAAGGAAGAGAGGGCGCGCTTGCCGAACCATCACTGTGAGCCAGCCGAGCGGCGCTTGATGCACCATGCCTCCCAAGCCTCCTGTGGGTAGTCGGTTGGGACCCCGCCGTGGTTGATGTGGGCGATCTTGGCCTCCTCAACCGTAGCTCTGCCTGTGAGCTGAACGGGTAGTGGCTCGGCCTGGCTGTGGAGGAGGGAGCGCGGAGCTCGGGATGCTAGCCGTGCTGATTCCACTGACAGCGGAGGCTGCATCACTGTGAGTGCGCTTCACTTGAGAAGCCACGTCGATCATCGCCCCCACACCTCCACTCTGAGAGTCCACTGTGAAGGCCGCCTCCTGTTCCTGGGCTGCCATCTGTTCCATGAGCTCCTCTGTGGACCTGAGTCCTGTGAAGTGTGTCCTCTCTTCGGCGTCCGGTGGAACTTGGACAAACTTCACCGGCCATGGGAACTCATACCGGAACCTGGCGATCCAGTGATCCAGGCCTTCATCCTCGCCCTGGTTGTACTCTGGGATGGCCTTGGTCAGGAACCTGCTAAGTCTCTTGGCCTCTGCGTAGTTGTGCGCTGTGAGGCGAGCAGCACTGTCAAAAGCTTCCTGCTCGACAGTTGCCTGGTTGACCTGCTGTCGCAATTGGTCGTACCAGATGCTTCGCCAAGTCTCCAAGAGCTTGTTGGCATGTTCCTCCGGGATGTGGATCTCGCACTCCCAGTCTGTGAGGGTCCCTGTGGAGGTCGTCTGTGAGGGAACCCCGCGGCGGTACACAATGCGGCCCAGCCAAGCCTCTTTGGAGTCAACCAGTGCCAAGGTCTTCCACCTCGGCACCAATGGCTCCTTGGTGAACTTGCTGAAAGCCGCCCTGTACGCGTTCATGAGTCCCTGGAGCGGCGAAGCAAGCCGGCGTTCAAACTGTGTGACTCCAGGAGAGAGCTTTACAGGACCGCCGCCCTTGTACTCATAAGTCTCGGCTTCCTCCTTGGACCCGGCTGCCTGTGAGGATTCTGCCGTGGCCTTCTCCGCTGTTCCTTCGGAGCTGTCCTTCGCCTCGTCGGGCTCTTTGGGTTCCTCCGTTGTCTCCGACTTCTCCTGGTGGAAGTACCAAGGGTACACCCTGTGCGCTACCTCCAGGATCCGCTTCCGGACTGTGAGGGAAGGGACTGTGAGGATGGACGTGGCAGACAGCTCCGGCTTGCCCGGTGTGCCGGTGTCGAGGCGCGTCGTGGTCAGATCCCACATGCCATCAATGTGGAACTTTCGCAAGGGCCTTTTCCACTGTGAGGCGACGATCGGCCTCCGTCTGCCACGATGGGAAATTGCGGCATACGATGGTGCGCTTGGCCTGCTCGATCTGAGCAAAGAGCATGTCCTTCTCGGCCCAGGCTGTGCGGATGCGAAGGGCCCGGACCTGCTGCTCAAGGTTGCCCACTCGCTCGTTTGTCCTCACCTGTGAAGTAGACAGGGAGGAGTAGACGGCTCCAAGAGCAGGGGCGACCTTTTGCTGCATCGCCATCTGCACCAGTTCCATGCACTGCCCAACTGTGGCCGGGGCGTTGAGGTCTACCCCCTGTGCTAGCGGCACTGTGAAGGACTGTGGCTGCAGTTGGGTCGGGATGAGCACTGCAGCCGAAGACTGTGGGGCATCCATGCGTGCTTCCAACTGCGTCATGCGTTCTGTGAGATCCTGGTGCTGCTCTTCACGCCGTGCTCCTTGCAGCAAAGCAGACATTTTGTCCAGCTGGTCTCCCTGGCTCGTCATGGCTTCAAAGAAAGAAGAGGGAGGGACCTGTGAAGCTTGAACCGCTCGTGAGCTTATCGCATCTTCGTAGGCAAACCAACTACTTCTACCATCATAAGATGGAGGTACTTCGGTGGTCACCTGCTGGAAAGCTGAAAGACGGTGTGGTTCATTGAGACGACGACGATTAATCGCAAAAGACTCATTGCCGTGAAGGAGGTAGTCATCATCTCCTCCATCATGCTCAAAGATAGTCGCGGAGTGGCTAGCCATCGCGCTGTTCTTGGATCGAGACCCGGGAGAGACCTCTTCCGGTTATCTTCACTTAAGTGAAGTGTACCGGAGAGACTCCGGTCACCTTCACTTGCGTGAAGCACACCGGGTATTCCGGTTGCCTCCACCTGTGTAGAGAGTACCGAACGGGTACCTCCACAAGTGTGAAGCTTCCCGTTTCCCGGGAGCTCCGCTACCACGTTGAGATGTAACCTGGACGTGTATCCCCTCGCTAGGCGTACAGGAACACAGGCACTCAGGTGTCTCTTTTCCTATAGGCTCACAGCTGTAGTCCACTGCACTAGAACCTTGAGCAACAGGCATGGATACATGCAAGTGATACGTGAAACAGACAGGCACCTGGATGTGTAACATTCAGTGTTTCACCCCACATGGTATCCCCCCACCCCCCCTACTAGCCTGCTGCTGCACGCCCACCCGCCCTGCGCCCCGCACCTTGCCCGCCCCTGGGCCTTGTGCGCGCATCGGGAGTGTCGCGCTATGCCCTGCCGTGCGGAAAGCGGCAATCGGCTCAGTAGTTTCCAGCATCTGACATGAATGGCAATGCTGAATTATGAGAGTTGTATGGCGATGGTGATGGTGGCAGATATTCGAGGAAGGTATTAATCATGAAGATGACGACGACAAGGATGATGTTGAGCATGGTCTGATTGTCGACTCATGTCCCGGTCTAGAGCAGCACAACATCATGAGCAGTATCACCGGTGCCACAGCAAGAGGGAAGACAAGGAGTAACACATAAGAACGTCGCGGCAAAAAGAGTACCACCACAGGCCCCACACCACAGGGGGGGCGCGGGGGAAGGGGGAGGATACCATGGGGTGGGGGGGCAGGGGGGGTGTCAGCCCTGCATCATATATGGTAACCCCCCCCCCCGAGGACCAACCTCGACCATGTGATTGCTCATATCTGTCTTGGTGTCGTTCCGGACTCGAGCCGAAATGTTGAGGTCGTAGTCTGGCACATAGGTGTCCTCCTCAGAGGGATCTCGCCGCTGAATCGCTCTCCGCAGTTCCTCGGACCTCGAACTGCCTTTTCAGAGTCTGGTTCTCCTTGGCCAAGCGGCGAATGACTCGGTAAAGTACTGCTCCGTCTGTGACACTGATCTGGAAGTCCTCAGCGGTCCTATCCTTGTAGTATCGTTCAAGTTCGCTCCGCAACCTTTCGACGGCGTCTTTCTCCGATGCCCTTGGCGGCATGGGCTGAGCGGGCTGAGTAGTCGGTGTTGGCTCGGGAGCTGCCTCCATGACGCCTCGACGGACTGCACTGCGAAAGTGCCTGTTGGGAGCCTCTGAGGTCTCTGGAGCCGAGACACTTTCAATGCTGAGTCTGGACTCCAAGACAATCACAACCGACTCGCTGCTAGCATACTGTTTGCAGCTGGTTACCTGAATCATGCGAGACTTCCAGAATACAATATGCAGCAGTGGCGGAGAAGGATGTGCTGTGCGAGGCTGGCTGCTTGCACGTTTCACAGGCCCTGTGGAGCATGATGTTTGCAGATAGTGATCTGCCTGCGGAAAGTATGTGCCGAGACTGCTCAGCGATTGCTTCCTCATGGTGAACACACGGAAACGTCAGTTAGTTAGATAGCTATGTGTATGTTGGGCAATGCCTAGACACGGTGATAAGAGCTATGAAGGCCCTATTTTTGGAAACACTGACTGTCTGGGGCATATAATCGGGGCACAATCTAAATAAGCTAAGCCTCAAGCCTGGCAGCAGCAGCAGCAGCAGCAAGGCAATATGCGAAGGCTGCGAGGCTTGACTGATGTGAAATGCCGCCGGTTCCGCTTCTTTCTCGGATGCGACTGCTTGTGCTCATCGACGAACGCCGGCCAGGGCATCATTAACTCAATTAGCCTGGTCCTCTAATGAGCCTCTTCTGCTGTCCTAGGATACTATGTCCCCATCAACCGAACCTAACACACATTAGACCCTCTGCCACCAGATTGGACTCACTTGACCAGTGCCCAACTACGACAAAGAACGAACCTTGGCTCTTCTTCTGACGTTTCGTGAGGGTCTTAGAAGGAATGTTAAATTATCTGGATGCTTCCGAGACTCGGTCAGAAGAGCGGCACGTTTAGAAAACTGCGAAATCCGTGAAACAGAAAGGGTGAAACAAGCGGTCCTCAAGCTTCTCGGTCCTTAGCCGGGATGCCACTGATTGACACTAACACCAGCTACAAGAGATCTATTTCAGAAACAAAAATGTCTTTTGCGGGCCAGGCTCCCTCGCGGCAATCATTGCCTCTTCATTCTTGGCGGCCTGTTCCGACATGCCTTCTCCTGAGCACAACTCGCTTGAGGACCAGAGCTGCCGCACTGCTGCCAGGCCCGCGGCTGGCCCTCCAGCGGTCGTCCAGCTTAGCGACCGCTGCTGATGAACCTCATCCGTGCTGAAGCCAATCTTCCACCGACCATTGTCTTCGTCGGTGTAGACTTTGCCTCCCATCGGGATGGATGCATGCAGGAGGCGATCTATCTCTGCAGGCACAGGATCGTACGTCCTCGTGCCGCCGCCAGTGCCAGACCTCAAGGAGCTGCTGCTGACGAGGCCTTCTCAGCGGGCTTCCTCTTGGCTTCCCGCTTGGCCTGGGCCTTGGCTTTCGCCTGGGCCTTCGCTCTCGCTGTTTTCAAGTTCGGCGGCAGATTCTCCACCACGTCCTCGAAGCACTTCTGCATGGCTTCGCTGACCTGAACTTCTGTCTTCTTCTTCGTGCTGCTCTTCATGAGCTTCATGATCTGGTCCTTCTCATTTGCCAATGTGGTATCTTGCAAAATATTCTCGACTTCTTCAAGGTCGAACTCGTCTTCGCCTTCCAGATTGCCATCTCCTTTCATCACAGCGGCTTTCACGGACGCAGCCTCAAGACCCGGGTTCTTGTTCAGGAGCAGAGCAGTTCGCAGAGCCTTAGTCTCCGCCAGGGCTTTTTGGCTCTTCGGAAGGGGCACTGCCCAGTCCTTGCAGAGCCGCTTGAGGATCTCTTCGGAGAGGTTGGCAAAGCCTGTGCTCGCGTGGAAAGACTCCAAGGAGCAGGCTGCCTTGTGGCTCGTGAGAGTCACGCCGGATCCGGATGACTTGTGCGCAAGCCACATTCGCACGGGCGACATCATCTTCAGCGGATGCACGAGGACGCTTGTCTTGTCGAAGACGAACAGGAACTCCAGTTCCGAAACCTCCAAGTCGAAAGTCCATGCTCTGCAGCCTTCACCCCGCTCAGTGAGGATCTTCGTGGTCATCGGCCACACCAAGGCCCCATTCCGATACGTCCGCAGCACGAACTTGTAGTTGTTGACAAAGGCCACGTGGCCCTCCGGCAAAAGAGAGCCGTGCCACGCAGATTCCACCTTCTCGAACTCCTCCTTGATATGCACCAACAAGGCAAGGTTCACCATGGTCTGCTGATGGCTTTCGGGCGTGCAAACATACCACTTTGTCGGTCCGCAGATCTTCTTCAAGGTGCTCTCGATCTTCTCCTCTCTCTCAGTCCTCTCTGGCTTGCTCATCCTGTCGACTTGCCGCCTGAAAAGGAGCTGGGGGTCGTAGTCCTTGGGCGGACTTCTCACGTCGGCAGCTTGGATTTCCTTCCGCTTGTAGCCCTTCAGCAGGTCATGCTGTGTCCCTATCCGCCAGCTCAACATCTCGCTCACCTCCTGCTTCGTGGAGTCTCTGCATTCGTGTTCCCGTTGAAGTTTGTTGAGATCTTCTACGAGCTCGGTGTTCAAGAGGCCTCCGAAGAGCTGACGAACCATGTGAAAAACCTCAGCAGGAGTCGTCTGGAACTCAACCTTCGCCAAGCTATCCAGAGCCCAGCTGCCTATGGGACTGTGCTGCCCTTTGAGCATCTGCTTTGCTGCAAGTGTTCCTTTGGCCTGCACTGCTTCCAGGGTGCTGGCCACAGTCTTCAAGAAGCTTCTCGCAGCTGCTTGTTTCTCCTCATTCCTCCAGCAAGGCTGTGAGCTTGTGAGGCAAACTCCACGTGTGCTGAAGCATGCTGCCTAAGCGATACTTCAAGAACTTGCGGAGCACCAAAAACATGATCTCCGCCAGCTCGTCCTGCAGTGCGAGGAAATCCTCTGACCCCGATCTTGGATTCGCTATACAGGTCGAATGTGTGGCTTGACCTGGCCTAGCCACAAAACGATCTCCCCTAATACAAACAGAGACTTATAAGTAGTCGCTGCCAACAGCAGATACACTCAGCCTGAGGCCTCGCCTGCTGCTGGCTCCGTGAAACCCGGGCGGCGAGGAGAAAGGTCTCCGTTTTGGAGTGCATGCCTGCTCCGCACGAAGTTCTTGAAACTCAGTGAGGCCGGTGGGCTCCCGCCGGTCTCGGCCGGCTTGGGCTTGCTGTAAGCCCACTGCTTCTCCGGCAGCAACACCTGAGCTTTGGGGAAGAAGGAGACGCAGTCGAGAGCGACCATGCGGTTCGAGGTGTTCTGCACGCAGGCGGCGAGGCAGTTCACATCGTCCACCTCCCACTCAGCACCTGCCGACAGCCTCGGCAGTTCCGCTGTTTCGTCAAGGAAGCCGCAGTGCAGGAGCTGCTGGCCTTCCTCTTTGCCCGGGGTCACGTAGTAGCACCGAATGCTGTCTCGCTCCCCATACTTGAGCTTGGTCCCCGCCGACACCGCTTTGAACTGCAGGTCCTCGACTCTGAACTTAGCTTGCCTCCTTAGTTTCTCGAGGAACCTGACATTCTTGACCCCGGGCAAGGGGGTCTTCTTGTTGATGTGAAACACGAAGATCATGGCATGGGTCAGCCAATCATCGCAGACGTCGCACTCCTGCAGGTCACCCAAGTCCGCATAGTCCTGAAGCATGGCGATCTTGCCCTGCTTGCTGAGGCTGAGAAGCTTGTTGCCTCGGCCTTTCAACTTCTCCCCCAAGTCGTAGGATTCGCTGCCCTCGTCGCCCTGATCATCGTGGGCTTGTAGAGAAAGTCGCGATCCTCTTGCAGGTTTCGCTCGTAGAAGGTGTGCATCGCCTTCTTGAAGCCGTTCTGGACACGTTCTTCTTGTTTCTCTTGCCGCTTGCTCTGCTTCTCAGTCGCCTTCTTGACCGTTTTGGCGATAGACTTGGAGAGATTGCTGACCTGTTTGCCCTTGCTACGCATTTGCCGGCCCGGGGTCCTCGTCGCCGTAGTAGAACGTTTTGGGGCCATCTTTGCAAGCGATTGCTAGCAAAGGACTGCTGAGTGCTTAGCTCTGCCAAAGGAAGCCACTGAGAGCCGCACAACACAAACAAACATACACAAACGCAGACATGTCCCCTGAGCTCAATCTGCTTTGCTGGTTCAAGACGGGTTGCAAGCTGCACGGCTGAAGCCCTTTTGTTTCTGCAAGCCTTGAGCTCCAAACCTTCGCAGCTTCATCATAGCTGCCTCAGAGTTACAGGGTCATGCTGAGGTTGAGGATTTAGGGTTTAAGGGTTTAAGGGTTTAAGGGTTTAGGGGTTTAAGGGTTTAGGGGTTTGGGGGTTTGGGGTTCAGGGTTTAAAGGTTAGGGGTTAGGGTTTAGGGTTAAGGGGTTTAGGGTTTGGCCGCCCAGCTCCGAGCCCGCCACCTCCTGCCAGCACGATGCTGTAAGGAGGAAAAACACAGGCTGCAAAGTGGCCTCCGTGACTAAGTCTATGTGCCAGCCTGCACAAAACACACATCGGTGCCCTGCTCAGTGACTGTCTGTGTCTGCACCTACACGAGACCAGCCTGAGCCTGAGCTCCAACAAGGCCTCCGCATCGACGAATCGACGGGGCCTGGGCCGGAGCAAGGCAAGGCTGGACACCGTACTCAATCAGCAAACCCTTCGGCCTCTTCAAGCCCTTTTTTGGAAGCACGCACGGCTGGAGGCCGACTCAAAATTGTGGATAAAACCAAAAGAAACAACTGTCACTGCTGGGACAGAACAAGGATGCGACTGTCGCAGCCCCTGGTGTGACGGCCCAGGCTGCCAGGGCGACACCTTCGGCAGCAGAACGTGTGTCGCCCACAACCACTCTTGAGCAGCCCTCTGTGGCACAACGCCGTCGGGGCGCCAAGGCAGTGGCAGGATCGGCCACTTGAAGTTCCTCTGCACGCCACCGTCGTCGGTAGCACGAATGTGTATGCCCCTGCGGACACATGCTGCAGCAGTGACGATGACTGGTGCCGGGCATAAGCAACACGTCGCACCCCTCGGTTTCGCATCGCCTCTGCTGTTCTGCTGCAGCTGTCTGGCCTGGCACCGAGGACGATGACAAGGCCAAGGAAGAAGACGATGCCATGGCCCGTCACGAACTCGGCAGACAAGCTTCCTCTTTTATCGAATCTAAGCACAGCTATCTGCCAATCTGGGCCATAAAAACATCAAACACATCAGCACATCCGCAGCCATGCTCTGCAACTGCACATTCTCTCTCATAGTAGAAGCCTGAGCTCCCAGCAAGGCGGATCCCGCCTGAGCCGGAGCAAGGCTGGCTACCCTGACCTGGAGTAAGGTCAAAGCAAGGCTATCGCACTCACCGTCCACTGACAGCAGAGAAATCGGTGACAGCGAAACCTGGGCTCCAGCAAAGCTTCTTCGGGCCTGAGAAGCGAGCTTTGCAAGGCTGCCATGTCAATGAAAATCCCTATGCATGTGCAAAAGCAAGCAGCATTTTTTCTTCAGCCTTCTCCAAACAATCAATCGTGCCCTACGCACAGGAAGCAATGGTGAGATCGCTCCCACCACCAAGGCCCTGCCCGGCCAAGCCATCATCTCCGGGTCCGCCTTCACCTCCTTTGTCACCGGAGCCTGGCTTGTCATATTTCTTGTAGCTGCCGTCATATCCCGGCCAGGACTCCTTCTTATGTTTGTTTTTCCTCTTTTCCTCCTTCACTTTCTGTTTCTTTTCTCTCAGGTTCCTGAACCATGCTTGGCGCTTGCTGAGTGGCACCTCTGGCTTGGGCAAAGAGCTGTGTTCCACCCAAGGATTGAACAACTCCTTAGCTGCTGAGGTTTTTTATAACAAAAAGAGAAACAGGAAAACATGTAGTACAAGCAACGAAGCTTCTAAAATATGTACTTATTCAGACCAGGCTCGCAGTTGCTGTTGATGCAGAAGTTCTTCCTGTTGTAGGATTGCTCTCCGCATCGCTGGCACCACCGCAGGTCCCAGTGAGGAGGGCACGTTCCAGGACCTTCGTCTGCCGTCGTGCTGGCCGGCTTTTTTTCCTTCTTACCGGCATATGTTCTTCTTCCGGCGGCTTCTCGTCGCACTGCATCGCATCCTCCTCGGCCTCATCCGGAAGTTCCTCCAATAGCCGCTTCAAGCTGTCTCGCATCCTGGAGTTTTGGGCCTTGAGCAGTGCTCGCTCTTCGGCGAACTCCGCATCCCGCCGCTGCCGCTCGGCAGCCATCTCAGCTGCCCTCTCCTCTTGAATCCGCCGCTCCACCTCTCGTTCCTTCTCGACGGCGGCCTTCTCGGCGGCAGCCTTTTCCTCGGCTTCCGCTCTTGCTAAGGCGGCGGCCTCCTCGGCGGCGGCCTTCACCGCCCTCGCATCCGCAGCGGCTTTCTTCTTCTCTGCCTGCTCGGCCGCAGCCTTCTCGGCGGCAGCCTTTGCCCGGGCAGCAGAAGCTTCTTGCTGTTGCATTTGCTGCTGCTGCCACTGCTGCCACGCCCATGTCATATGCTGCAAGAACAACAGCATCGGCGGCATCTGTCCCCCCATGGGTGGCATAGGCGGAAATGGATTATCGCCGGAACCCATGCTCATCATCGGCTCGTGCTGGGTCTGTGGCGGACCTGGTGGATAGGCCTCCAAAGGCGGTGGATCTGGGCATCCACTTTCTGGCGGTGGCATCGGAACGCCGCCGCCTTCAGAACTCTCCGGCGCCGGCGGCGGCACCAAACCCTCCTGCTCTGGCTCTGCCTCCACCTCCATCCTCGTCGAAGCCGCCGCGGCATCATCGTTGTCCTGAAAGGAGCAGCAAGCAGCATAAGACGGCTCCAAAAAATAATTACCTCTGTCTCTGCCCTGCCCCGCCTCCCCGACGCAGATGACATTGCTCCATGCGAGGAGCACACACACACACACACACCACACCAAGCAAACATCGTGCCATGGCGGCTGCTGGTGGCACTGAAACTCTCACTAACTTTTTCAAGCTCGGAGCTCTCGCACTGCAGCAGCCAAACAAGTTAAGGTCACAGTCACCAATCAAGACTGCACGACCTGTACTCGCCGAAGCTGAAAACTGAGAGTACTGCATACTGGCACCCGCTGCAATCTTCGAAAGCCGTCTGCCTCTGGCCCTGAGCAAGCACGACAGACATATACATAATCGTCCGTTGTGCTCGCAGGGAAAGAGGAAGATATATTTTCTCGTCTTCTCGTCGGAGTCGGGTCCCTGAGGCCCTGGCCCTGAAAAGAACAGCCCTCATCTAGTTTACCTTTCCCTACCTCCTGCCAGCTCTGGCTGGAGTAAGGGACCTGGAATCGCATATGCAAACTGAGTCCGCTGCCGGCTCCGATTCTAAACAGAAACTCTACCTCCTGCCAGTTCTCTAAAACTGTGAGGAGTGAGAGCTTTCTCAAGCTTGGTTTGAGCAACAACGGTGATCAGGTCTGTCTCACTCTCACAATGGCAAGGCACACTGCAGAAAGAAGTGCGAAGCACACTAAAACCGCACAGAATGTGTTTGTTGACTGCGAAAATCCAATCGTTTAAAAGGGAAATCTGTGAACTGCAAAAACTTCCACCCAGGCGGTAACCACAAGTTTGGCAAACGTCTTCGAAACCGTCGCTGTTCTGATCTGCCGGACAGTCATTTCAAGGTTTGCAAAAACGAGCAATAGTCTAAGCCTTAGCCAAGAAATACAGTCTATACGGCTTTAAAAAATATGATAGGTCGATGGTTTAAATCATGCCAGTCTCAGAAAAGTCGATTTTCCAATCAGTCTTGGCCAACCAAATTGTCTTCCCCAGTTGGTCCTCCTGAGTATATGAATATGAATATGATTATAAGCAGTCGTAGGAACATTAGTAAAAATATTCTTGTTAATGTTAAGATTACTATACGTATTAGTGCCCGTAAGAGTATTAGGTTTCATTTAATATCGATGTTAAAATTCATATGAGTACTATTCATAAATACTAGTAGTAGAATTAAAGCTACTATGAATAAATGCGTGGGGATTTGTTCTTGATGATGTTCCTTGTCGCTCACCCCATGGAGCTATGTTGGGTAATGATGTGGTTGCCCTCAACAGACTCGATATGCTCTCTCCTTCACTCCCACGTACAAGCACTACTCCCAGGGCAGGCAGATCCAGAGCTCGCTTGTTTTCCACCTTCGCGGCCAGCGATGGATCGTCTGTGCTCGGGATGGCTCTGTTCCTCGGAGAGGTCACAGAAGACGAAAGCTATTTCAGCTATCGGCAATGCTTTCTAGAGCTTGTGCTCATTCTTGAGCCAAAGTTGCATGGGCGGCATTTGATAAAGTGGCTCGGCACTGTGGTATGCGTAGCATGCCCACAGGCCTACACCTAGAGATGGAGTATGCGCAGAGTGCCTCCACTCTTGACCTATACAAGGCCTCACTCATAGCTCTTATCGTGACACCATAGAACTTGACGAGGCATCGCAGTCCGTTCGCACCCCCCATGAGCGGCGTCTCCGACGCTACTCAACCGGAAGATGGCGCGATAGGAACACTATAGGGATTGATCCGCCGCAACTTTGAAATATGGATTCAGAGCCTTTTATCCCAATTAAAAATGGCGTGACACTCATCTACGTCAGTGACGATTTCATGACAAACGAATCAGGTGTCACCGAAGAAAACGCATTCGCAATGAAGATCACGAGCGAAGCGGAGAGGTCACGTACTGAACGAGGTTGCCGATCACGTGTTGTGCTGCATCCATCTGCATGTGGCTGCAGGATCACGTTCCCAAGGCCTGAGGTTATCCTCTGGGATCTGAGATCTTTGCTTCCCCTTGTCTTTGCCCTTGTTTCTGCCCTTGCCGACGATGTAGTCATGGTAGGAGTTGGCATTCCAGCTTCCATGCCTTTCACTTCGTTCACGGGCTCTTGGGGCGGCCTTGGCTGCGGCAGCGCGTTCAGTCTCTTCTGCCGTGACAGGTGTGTCCATGATGGAGGTCTGTCCACGCGGAAGATACTCATCAGCTGAAGTGTGATGTA